GAATGGGGCGAGAGAGTTGATCTGACAGAGACCCACCGTTGTTCGGGGCCTAACTACCTCCACCATCTACCTGCACCACCGGATTCACAGTGACTAGTCTAGTCACTGTGCCCTGTACGTTTGTATCTTTTCTCTTATCTTTATTTCCATTTTGTTTTAGTTCTTCTGTCTTTTTTTTTCTGTTGATTGATTATATGGGTTAACTTTCCTTGCATTCAAGATCGACAATGGGGACATTGTTCGGTTTTAAGTGTGGGGGAGTTTTTACATGATTATGTGCTTATATGGTTGATCAGGTCTAGGTCTTTTAGGATGTTTTCTTCATTTTCTTTTCTTTTTTTTTTTGTCTTTTTATGAGTCAGCTTGTGTGTTTCTCGAGTATGGATAATAGTGATTTTGAGATTTGTCGAGAATTATTGATGATGTTGAGGAGATGTGATGATGATCATGATTAGTATATTTTGATGAACTTGATGTTGCGTTTTGTTGGACATTTATTTACCTTATGTGAGGGTTTGAGCCTTATTTTGTTTCTTGAGAGATATTGGTCGGATTCTTGTTGATCAGAACTTGCTTGTGGTCTGTTTTGAAATGAATTGATTGATATAGTGATTTGTGAAAATGATTGAGGCATTTCTTTGACATTGCTCGTTTAGCCTTTTTCATTGACCCTTGAGATTATATTTCCATTAGTAGCCCGTTGAGCCTTAAACTGTATTTCTTGTCAACCGATTTGATTGAATTATTTGAAGATTTGACAATGAATTTTTTATGATGACGGAGCTCTTAATATGTGTTTGGAGAAGGCGTATAACTTGTTTGAGTTGCATTTTGGGTGCTTGACAAAAAAAAAAAAAAGGGATTCGCAAGACGGACTGAAGGATTCTACTCCGCTTACTTGTTGAATTTTTTTTTTTTTTAACGAGTAATGAGTACTGGAAAACTACTCTAGGAAACTTGGATGACCTCCAATGTTTAAACCTAGAGAATGTCGTCCTGATGTCTCAGTCTTGTTAAAAAAATAATAATAATAAAAAAAAAACTCCCTAAATAATAAAATAAAAATAAAAATAAAAAAGAAAAGAAAGAAAAGTCGAGTAGTTCAAGTGCAATTCAGCTTGAGCATATGTATTTGTTGCATGGAGGTCTGATGAGAATGATTGATGTTGTGCTGATTTTGGATAGATGGTGAGATGTTCGAGTGGTATATGCTCGAGGACGTGATTGTTTATTTGGACCACTCTATCTTTACATTTTTTTTTCCTTCCCTGATGCCTACACTGCAACCCGAAAGTCCTTTTGATTTACAATTCATTATTTTGATTGTTTTAGAGTATGAATAGACAATGAGCAAGCTTATGTTGATGCATGATGATCGACCAATTTGAGCGCCCCAGTTTTATATTCATGAAAGAAATCGAGTGAGGCATTTATATATTATATTTTTGTGCTCGAGAGTTGTCTTTTCAAAATGTTGCATTCAAGTGTAGTTGAGATATGCGTGATTGGTCATTTGAATTCTCCTTACCTAAGTTGATTAATTTGAGGCTTGTCTTATCTGAAACTATTACCATGCTCGTTTGCTTGTTTTCGTGTCTTTTCTTTTCTTTTTGTTCGGGACGAACAAAGGTTTTAGTGTGGGGGAGTTGTTTGTCCTATTTTTGTTGCGTTTTCCGCATTTATTTTTCCTTTCTTTTTCCTCAATTTTGAGTCTTTTCGTTGCTTTTAGTTCGTTTTGTGTTTTGTTCCGTGTTTATCTCTATTTTGAGCCATTTATGTGTCTGCGTTTGCTTTTCGGTCGTTCTTCGGCATTCGTTTCGTTTATGGTGTGCAGGTCGAAACAGCCCAACAAAAGCAAATAAATAAGGGCAAAGTGGTCATTTGAAATTTAATTTATTGAGGAAAAAAGGCCATCTTCTTCACTCAAGCACGTAAGCCATGAATCCGCCATTGTTGAGCTTTAAGCTTCTCGGCCAATGCCACCACGTCGCTGCCCAACCACCCGAGACCTCCCGTCGCCGGAGAAGAGCAACACAGCCATCCCCTCCACACTGCTGCTCTATAACGTGAGAGGGCTCCGGAACTCCAGCTGCCTTCACGCAGTGCCGAGAGACCGTGCACGCCGGGAAGAAGACCTGTGTCGCGCCGCGCCACTGTGTCGCGCCGTGGTGCCGAAGTCCGCCGCGACGCGAAGCTGCCCCGTGATGGACAGAACATGCCTCCCAGACTGCCACGCCGCGAGCTGCACCGCGCCGCGCCACTTGAAGCCCCGCCGCGCCGCGTCGATGCCGCCAGTTGGACAGAAGATCGAAATTTCACCGCTGCGTCGCGAGCTCCACCGTGCCGCGATGCCTGCCACCAGTTCTCCCAGCCAGCACGCCGTGAGCTCTGCCGCGCCGTGAAGAGATAATTTGCCGCGTCGCGATCCAGCAACACGCCGTGGTGCAGCCATCCTCCGCGCCGCGGTGCATCAACACGCCGTGGAGCTGCTGTTTGCCGCACCTGTGATCCCTCCTCACGTCGTGACTCGCGACAATTATAAATAAGAGATCAGGTCTTTTATTCAGAACATTCTTTTCACGCCCGATAAAACACCGAACCCTATTCTTGTATATTTTTCGCTCGTTCTTTCAGTTTTCCTTCATCGTTTTTGATTGGGAACAATAATTTGCACTCGGATTCTATTGTTGCTTTTGGATTCAATCGTTTTTATCGGATTCAACTTTGAGAATTTTCAATCGTAAGAATTTCTTTTATCTTTACCGTTAAATATGAATTCTTTGATTGAGATGATCATTATTGTTGGTGATTCGAGCATGAGTGGCTAAATCTTTATGCTACGGAATAGGGGATCGATGCTTTGAATTTGTTTGTGATTGTCGGGCTTAAGATTGTTCAATTTATGCGATTCTTTCTTAATTAGGGTTTTCGATTTTTGCTTGAATGTTGAGAATTATTGAAGGAGTGACACTTCAATTTACAATTGCTCGTTGATTGAATATGATTCGTTCTTGCGTGATTTTGTTAACCCGATATCGACTAGTTGATTAACCATCTTCTAGGATTATTTAATCGACTCTTAGAACCGAAAGGGGAGGAGTCGGTCGAAATAGATTCGCATGAACTAGGCTTGTTCGTAACTGTATTGCCTAGGAGTTAATTGACTCGTTAATTTGCCGTTCTAGTTTATTCTCTTGTTACGAATAGTTATTGGGAATGAATGCTTGATCTGGTAGATTATTCGAATATCTTAGTTGAACAATCGCTTGCCCGTTAGTTGCATATCGAACCAAAGCGGGAATCCCCGACTCCCTAGCTTCGTAATCCTTATTTGTTCTACGTGATCATTTGCTATTTACTTGCTTTATTTTATTTATTCGCAGTAGTTGATAATAAAAACCACTTAAACTTTGAATTAGTATATTTAGGATTTTTATTTCTTTCATTTGTGTGTGAATATACGTACTTAATATTCCGGCTGACCTTCCTTGTGATACGACCTGGTGTCGAATCTTTCGATTCTACCCCGGTAAAAATATTTACAACAAGAAGGAAGATAGATCAGTGCTTTAATGCATCTGACACATCTGCTATTTTGAAAATTCATACTTTTAACCCTTTGTTATGTGATAAATGGATTTGGGCAATCGATAGCAAAGGTAAGTTCTCAGTTTCAAGTTCTTACTCTCATTTGGTCTTGAATAAAGTTAGAGAATTAGATACAACTGAAGGAAGTGAGTCTGGGCTGCAAGAAAAGAAGGTCAGAAATAGAAGTTGGGGCCTCAAAGTAAAGCAAAAGTTGAACAATTCATATGGAAGTGTTACACTAACTCTCTTGTTGTTAGCTTGAATCTGACTCATATGGGTTTAGATGTGGATCCTAGATGTAAAAGTTGTGGAGAGGGAGATGAATCAATGGAGCACATGTTGCTGCACTGTGATAGAGCTAAGAAAATCTGGAAACTCTCACCTCTAGACTGGCAGGAATCTTCTAATTCAGAGACATTAAAGCATTGGTGGTGGAATGTATGCTCAATTGACAAGAAAGCAATTTCTTAGGACAGAATACAGTTATCTACATACATATTATGGTGGCTATGGAAGTCACGCAATATCTGGAAATTTCAAGATGTGTGGATGGCAGAACATGTTGTGCTCAGGGCTGCTCATTGTGATTGGCTGGAATTCAAGAATTGCAGAGCTAAGAGAGAGGAGCATTAGGGAGAATGCAGCTATCTAGGTCCTTATGGTTTAGTAGATGCTACTTCTTCATGTCTGCTTTTATCTTTTAGTCTGATTAATGTTCTCTGATGTTGCATTTGTCTTTGTATTGTGATGCTTGGTTGTGGCTATAGGGATCAGAGTTGTTCTGCCCGTAGTCGATGGTATTGGTTGTTGATTGATTTAGGCCATCTGTAGGATGGGCTCATTTGTTCTATTTGAACATTGGGGCGATGTCTCTCGGCTTGTAATTTTGTTTGTTGGAATGAAATATCTATAATTTTGTTAAA